AAGGGAGGAGGGTCTGAGGGAGGAGGCTCGGTGGGAATCATCGGTCCCGAAGGTCAGAGCAGGCCCTCACCTCTTTGCTGGCTCCCAGGGCACCTCCAGGTGGCAAGAGCTGCCCACTCGGCACCATGAGCACCAGCATCGGGTAAGTGCCCTGCCCCCCAGGCCGCCTATCCCCGCCCAGGTCCCCACGGTCTCACCCACACCCGCAGGGCATTCACAGCAGGTCACCCGGGCGGCCTCCCTCCAGCCCAGAGGTTAGGGTCGCTGGAGAATTCTTCTTGGAGGAGGTGGCCTTGAAGAGGAGGTTGAAGGCAGAGACAGAGGAGCGTCTGGCAGGTGGAGCCCGGCCCTTGGGGGCGGAAGAAGGGAACTCTCCATCGGCTCCAAATATTTTTTTTAAATATAACTTTGTTGATTTCAGAGAGGAAGGGAGAGGGAGAGAGAGAAACATCCATGATGAGAGAGAATCATTGGTCAGCTGTCTCCTGCACGCTCCTCACTGGGGATCGAACCCGCAACCCAGGCCTGTGCCCTGACCGGGAATCGAACCGTGGCCTCCTGGTTCATAGGTTGATGCTCAACCACTGAGCCATGCCAGCCGGGCGCTGCTCCAAATATGAATGCTATTTAAAAATTCCCATTATTAAGCAACTACTATGTGCCAAGCGCTTAGCATTATAACGATGATAATAATAGTTATGGAGGCTATAGAACACTTCACCTGCCCCATCTCGTTGAATTCACCTCATAGCCCTACCAGGGTTCTTGTCCCGGCATCCAGAAGGGTTCCGGAATCTGGGAAAGGCGCTGTGCGTAGATGACATAGGAATCCAGCGACTAATAAAGAGTCCGGAGACAAGATATAATTTTGAAAGGCATTGGGGGTCAGAGGACCTTCCGTTAAAGGAACTGAAGGCTCCCTCCTTGCCTAGGACCCTTGCTTTTATTAACACAATTGTCCTAAGGCTAGGTGGAGATAATACACCTCAAAGGGTCCTAGCTGGTTTGGCTCACTGGATGGAGCGTCAACCTGGGGACTGAAGGGTCCCAGGTTCGATTCCAGTCAAGGGCATGTAGCTTGGTTGCGGGCACATCCCCAGTAGGAGATGTGCAGGAGGCAGCTGTTCGATGTTTCTCTTTCATCGATGTTTCTGGCTCTCTGTCCCTCTCCCTTCCTCACTGTAGAAAATTAATAAAATATATTTTTTTAAAAAA